AATACATACATTAAGAACATGATAATAGAAGGAGTTGATTGATAAATTAAAACTGATTTAGCTACATGCACAGCATATGCTGATGTTTAAATTTGTCCCCACGTTAGTAAAACACGCGTTTATTTCTTTAACACAACCCGTATATATAGTTTTATCTCCCCTTAATCTATTTGGGTAATTAATGTGGATTTTCCGGATATTTGGGCGCGTTACAATTCTATTTCATAATTTTCGAGATGCGGGAACCATTGCCAAACCTGCTCCGGTTGAAAAATCTGTTCCGGCTTTCGCTGGCTTGTATATTTATTTATATTTACGCATCCACATATTCGCGACGATTATTCACAGACGGCTCGTGTCTTATTGTTTCGTGTGTGCCAGTGTAAAACAAGAAGGTGCCAACAGGCAAACATGTGTAAACATAAATAATTGTAAAATCGGGCGGAAATAAAACAACCTGCCAAAAAATCGCGTTCATTTATTGGGGACCCACGGCGTTTCCGTTTTATATGGCTGCTGAACATAAAGCTCTACAGGATCGTCAGGCAGCAGTAAGACTGCAAATAAGTTATCTTGACAACGTTAATAAAATGATTTTAAGTCTCAAAAATGCTTAATCGGAGGAATGAAATGAATGATTTAGGTGTTCTCTTTGAGGCTACCATCAAATTTACTCTCACGTTATTCACAAAACTGTAAAACCTACTGTAATGCAAGGTATGCTGGATTGCTGTGAGATAAGATCTCTCTTTGATAGATGATGAAAAAACCGTTGGTGAAATTTGTATAATATATCTTAAACAATTTTAAATATAGGGGCTCCAACCAAATTGAGTATATCTATTTAATGTACCAAATATTAACTTAAGAAAATAATAGTTAATCTTTTCTTGATAAGCCACGTAATTTAATGGTTTTATGCCTGTTGCAATTAAAGGTGAAACCTAATCAATTCATAGTATATTATGGTATAAACGGTATTTGAGTCACGAGTTCATTTACCACGAGCGGAGCGACTGTTTAGTACACGAGTGACTTAAAAAGTTTACCAAGCAAAACTAACTAGTTAAAATGATACTTCTCGCACGATAGATCGAAGAGAGAGAGTAGAAAATTGCTTTTTTTAAATAAGGTAGGTGTATATTTTATATTTATTTATTTATTTATTTATTTATTACAAAGGTGCCCTAACATGAAGAACTAACTTCACAATTTACAAGGACACACTAACAATTATACCATTATTTAATTAACAAAGTAAAACTTATAAGTAGGTACCTACCTATATCTACGATAAGCAGAAGATAAAAATAATAATAATAATAATAATAATAACAATCAAACTTACCAAACTAAACCAAAACTAACACTGTATATTAAGTGCGTGAATTACAAAAAACAAATGTGAAAAAATAAGGAAAGCAAATCAAAAATTAAAATAAATTTATAGAAAAACCCTAATTGCTTGATTTCGAAACGAATTAAGTGATAACGCAAAGATGTCAACGTGCGAAAAATAATTATTGTAATGTCTATGTAAAAGAGATATTGGGGAATTGTTACCTAAGTTTGTATTAAATCTAGGCACGTAAAATAATGAAGGAGTTCTTGTTATAACGACTCTGGCATTGAAGGATAGTTTTTCCAACAGTAAAGGACAGTCAATCCTATTATTAATAATATTATGCAAAAATATGTGCTTCTGATTCGAACTTTTTCGCGACTGCAATAAAAACACCCCCACCACCTTTTTTGTTTGATCTAAGTAGATCTCGATCCAACCTAAAAACTTCGTAATAATTTGTATCAATGAACTCAGAGTCAAAAATATTATTATTGAGCCAAGACTCAGTAACACAGAAAACATCCGCTTGATCACTTAATGTAGATAAATAAAACTCTTGCAATTTTCTTCTCATCCCACCCACATTCTGATATTTAATTTTAAACGCCATTGATAAAAAAAAAACTAGAAAAAACACTATATTAAATTTACGTTAAAATTTCACACACAAGGTCATTTCAGCATGTTTTCAGATAATATTTGTATCACTTTATCCTTATGGTTCAAGTATATTTTGCAGTCAAAAGTCCAGCACTTGGCTCCTGGATTGTTTCTGCAAAAATCGCGGGTTTTCTTGAATAACCCTTTATTTTCAAATGTCAGCTGCTCATTGATGTATATAGCCGAATCATTTCGGGATAATCCTGTTTCATTTAATTTAAGACCTTTCTTTTTCCGGATAGCAGCAATGACAGCATCTTTATCATTTTTGGATTTCATAGTAACAATTATAGAACGCGGAGTCCTGTTATCAGCATTCAGATGGGCAACCCTCCTGTAAGATTGAAAGGTATCCTTTTCGGTACCAAGAGCACCAAAGACTGAGTTAATTACCATACGTAGATCATTTCCGCACTTTCACTTTCATTCATTCTTGCTTGCTGCTGCAGAATATTAACGGATGTTTTCAATTCACATACTTGTTTATTTAGATCTGTTACCTTTGACTCAATCTTTGGCATCTCCTTGACTGAATTTTCCATTTCAATCATCTTTTTATTGAAGTCGTCGATCTTCCCTCCAAGGAACTCAATCGAGACCTGTAGATTTGTTTGGGTGGATCTAAGGTCACCAATATTGGACTGCATAACATCGAACTTGTTATTCATTTCCACCAGCAACTTTTTTATAGTATTGTCGGATTCTGTGTTATCACCGGACAAGCATTGATTACACCGGTGAGAAAATCCCTGAAGTTTAAGTACTTCAGTTGGGTAGGGAGACTCCAAACAGGTATTATGATATTGTTGTTTACAAACAAAACATTCTACGGTCACAGCTGACCGGCCTAATCGCATTTCACATATCTCACAGTTCAATGTCATGTCGACGAGCTCGGATATCGCACAAAAAAAAAACGGCAGCAAAAAAACTAAAAAGTACGAGATTTAAATTTATCTACTATCTCTGGTTGTTTATACACGTTTTTTGTAAAATTACTAATGATAATGAACTAGGATTCACTTGAAACTAATCCACTAAAGTTCCGCGTAATTTTCTATACTTTAAACCACTGTTTTAACCATTTTATACGGAGCGATAGATAAACGTGTTTTACTTTGACGTGTCTGAGCGCGTTATCCGTTATCCGTTAAATAACATCAAATAACGAAACTCGAATACCTGTCCCTGCGAATTGAATCATTGGGATCCCGAAAACTATAGGAAATATTCAGCGTAACTCAAACAATGGAAATTGTCTTTGATATTTCCGAAATAATAACGAAAAAACTAAAATTCCTTTTTTTGGAGTTTATTCTTTCGGCGAGCTTATTTTCAAATTTACAAAAATCCTAAAAACGCATTGTCATGGAAAATTTGTGAGTGCCCCTTTTGCTAAAGTCAAAAATGTATTACAATCTTTGCGATTATCATCTACAGTAGTCGTAAATGAAATAAACAAATACATAAAATAGCCATTTGCTTTCCCCAAATCTAAGTGTGCCGCTCCAAGTAGCTATGAGAGAGCTACGAAACGCGGAAGTATTAGGAACCGAATTTTTGATAAATTCGGCGCTAAAAATATCGGCGTTTTATTTTTATGTTATAATCTTTGAGTTACGAGCTAGCGCGCCAGATTTAATGCGGCAACGCGAGGATCCTATATCGACGATGTTATTTGCACCGCATATTTTTCCAACGGGACAAACGAGATCGAAATTCGACCCCATAAATACTTGACGATCGTTAGATAGACGAGACATGACAGTCTACGACTCACGGTCGCTCAAAGTGTGCTTCGAATCAAACCCTCCGTTTGTTTTGTAATGATCTAATTGAACACGCAATTTAATGGCCAATTGCAACGTTGCAAATATTTATATCGTGTATATTTTACCATGGACCACGGTCGTCCGCAAAAAGGTTTTATATTTTTAAAATTTCGTAAATTAAAATATCTGAATGCTACTTATAAACAAATTTTAATATAAGAATTAAAAACATACTTAATGCAATAACTACACACACACACACACAGAAATTTGAAAAAGCTTAAAACATTTTTTTTTAATAATTATTAAGATGTTAATGTACCTCACGCAATCACTTATACAAAGTGTCTGGATATCAAACCCACCGTTTGTTTTCTAACGCAATTTAAAATATCGTGTATATTTTACAGTGTAATACGGTCGCCAGTAAAAAAATTGTTCTACTCCCGTCTGTAAAATGCCGTTTGCCGCACTTGTTGTGCATAATATGCTATTTTATCCTTATAGAAATAACTTTTCAAAAAGCTATTTGATAAAGCTTAAAATCTTTTAAAAAAATTAATTATGAAGATATTGTACACGTTCACGTATCAGGATATTCGACCGACAAAGCTTGACAGTTAGGCGTCCAACCTTAAAGTTCCTAATTTTTACGATGGTTTCACAATTATTTTTGATTCTAATCAATTAATCCTCAATGAAACAACACGGCGATGTCAAACTACCACAGACCTGAGGTCCATATAAATTAGATACGGGAGAATTGTCCAATAGCGAAAACTCCAAATTCGTTTTTAGGCCTTGTTTTACAAATTATCGACATTTTTTTCGATTTTGGTGCTCAAGTTAAAACTATAAAATTCATGATAACTGATTAATAGCCGGGAGGGGGGGAGTAGGTAATTTCATTATCCTCGACCTCGCTGTCATAGTTCCGTCCTGCGTTTTGAACGGCGAATGGTTTTGATCGAAAATGGCCCTAAATAAACATCCGTCCCGATGAATACCGATAACCGTTCTACACGGGTTTTCGAACAATGGAGGACCTTTCAATTATAACCCCATTAATTTAATTGGCCGGGAGGGAAATCGTATTTTAACGTTGCAAAATCTCTGCCCAAAAAAAAAACAATAATTAACGGACAGCGTTCACTTCGTTGTGCAATAATAACGATTTATGTGGGGTTAGACTGCCAAATCAATCGATGCTTTTTTTATTGCAGAGATTTGGCGAGCAACAACATCACCAGACTGAAGGAGACTTCTCTGGCGTCCTTTCCACATCTGGAAGAACTGTAAGTATAGAGCTAGTCTACTATAGCTACTATAGAGTTGGTCAATGCGAAATTTTAAAATATTTGGTTCGGAATTTTTCCATTGTTGAGCTGTCGGTAAACTGTTTAATAAATAAAGTTGTAATGAGCGATCCGCCGCCTGTACTAGCAATAAAAAATACTATCTCGGGAGCATACGCCTGACCACAGAGCCTGCCTCACGAGAGAAAACTCGAACATTTCACACTCGTCGCGAAACGGCGCTGTCGAACTAAAAGCGAAACAGGGCTGAACAGAAAGCAGTGAGAGTCAGAGTAGACTCCGTTTTGCTCCGATGACAGATATCATTTAAATTGTTAGTAGTCTGTGCTTATTAAATAATAGTGTGCGAAGCAGTGTTTAGCTCTTAATTGTTTCGAAGGAATACATTAGGAGTGATTTACTTAAGTTCACTGTCTCATGCGAAGAACCCTAACAATTTTAGTTGTTTTAGAAACGTAATAATATATTAATCGAATACTAAATCTATCTTATCATAAAAAGTAAATAAGTAAAACTTTTCTTATACAAAAACATCTCGTTTAATTTTTGAGATGCTCGATTTTCCGTAGAAAGTTTATCACATTACACCCCGTCCAGCCATTTTTCATTTATTTTCCAATCAAGTGTTTCGTTTTCTAACACAATTTGAAATCTTATCGAAGTGTAACTCATATAGAACGGCGTTTGTTTTATAGGCACTCTAGCTCTAGCTTATGTCGATGTGTCACATCGAAATATATAGTTTGATAGTTCCCCGAACTTTTACGATCCTTCTTCTGCCCGACATCGTCAACATTTCCGATTTAGTTTATACCTTCATTTTGAATAGGTATTCATGGTTTCGTGCTTTTATATTTACCAAGAGTCATAAGGTTATTGATTGAGAAGATGAAACGGCAACTCTTCAATTAGCCAACTCAAATTCACCCAAACTGAGAAATTCTTAATCACTTATTATATGTTTATAATTTAATGAGTCAATGGACCTTTATTTCAGCTGTTTTGGTGAGATGAACACACAAATGCTATTGACGCCTCACTAGGCCCTTACACATATTTTTAGATTTACATTAAAACATTTTAATTACCTTGTAAAATACAAAAATATATTTACTATGTAATTAATCCTAGCAAGCTCGTCCGCTTTAATTTTGACTTTAATTTTGACGTCATACAAAGACGCAACTCGATTGGTTGTGACGTAGGTATGTGGACACAAGCAACCCATTGTATATATATATATATATATATATATATATATATATATATATATATATATATATATATATATATATATATATATATATATATATATATATATATATATATATTTTTTTTTTTTTTTTTTTCTTCAATTTCTCTTGGGTATTCGGTCTCTCGAAAACAATTATTGTGATTCTTCTAAATATTTATTAACGTTTCCATCGTAATTTCGATCTTTTTCCCTGTCTTTTGCGTTTTTAATAATTCCTTTTATCTTTTGTGTTTTTAATAATTTCCTTTGTCCTTTGCGTTTTTAATAATTTCCTCTGTCTTTAGCGTTTTTAATAATTTCCTCTGTCCTTTGCGTTTTTAATAATTTCGTTTGTCTTTTGCGTTTTTAATAATTTCCTCTGTCTTTTGCGTTTTTAATAATTTTCTCTGTCTTTTGCGTTTTTAATTATTTCCTCTGTCTTTTGCCTTTTTTAATAATTTCCTCTCTCCTTTGCGTTTTTAATAATTTCCTCTGTCCTTTGCGTTTTTAATAATTTCCTCTGTCTTTTGCGTTTTTAATAATTTCCTCTGCCTTTTGCGATTTTAATAATTTCCTCTGTCCTTTGCGTTTTTAATAATTTTCTCTGTCTTTTGCGTTTTTAATAATTTCCTCTGTCCTTTGCGTTTTTAATAATTTCCTCTGTCTTTAGCGTTTTTAATAATTTCCTCTGTCCTTTGCGTTTTTAATAATTTCGTTTGTCTTTTGCGTTTTTAATAATTTCCTCTGTCATTTGCGTTTTTAATAATTTTCTCTGTCTTTTGCGTTTTTAATAATTTCCTCTGTCTTTTGCCTTTTTTAATAATTTCCTCTCTCCTTTGCGTTTTTAATAATTTCCTCTGTCCTTTGCGTTTTTAATAATTTCCTCTGTCTTTTGCGTTTTTAATAATTTCCTCTGTCTTTTGCGTTTTTAATAATTTCCTCTGTCCTTTGCGTTTTTAATAATTTCCTCTGTCTTTTGCGTTTTTAATAATTTCCTCTGTCCTTTGCGTTTTTAATAATTTCCTCTGTCTTTTGCGTTTTTAATAATTTCCTCTGTCCTTTGCGTTTTAAATAATTTCCTCTGTCTTTTGCGTTTTTAATAATTTTCTCTGTCCTTTGCGTTTTTAATAATTTTCTCTGTCTTTTGCGTTTTTAATAATTTTCTCTGTCTTTTGCGTTTTTAATAATTTCCTGTCTATTGCGTTTTTAATAATTTCCTCTGTCCTTTGCGTTTTTAATAATTTCCTCTGTCTTTTGCGTTTTTAATAATTTCCTCTGTCTTTTGCGTTTTTAATAATTTCCTTAATAATTTCCTCTGTCCTTTGCGTTTTTAATAATTTCCTCCGTCTTTTGCGTTTTTAATAATTTCCTCTGTCCTTTGCGTTTTTAATAACTTCCTGTCTTTTGCGTTTTTAATAATTTCCTCTGTCCTTTGCGTTTTTAATAATTTCCTCTGTCCTTTGCGTTTTTAATAATTTCCTCTGTCCTTTGCGTTTTTAATAATTTCCTCTGTCCATTGCGTTTTTAATAATTTCCTCTGTCTTTTGCGTTTTTAATAATTTCCTCTGTCCTTTGCGTTTTTAATAATTTCTTCTGTCTTTTGCGTTTTTAATAATTTCCTCTGTCCTTTGCGTTTTTAATAATTTCCTCTGTCCTTTGCGTTTTTAATAATTTCCTCTGTCCTTTGCGTTTTTAATAATTTCCTCTGTCTTTTGCGTTTTTAATAATTTCCTCTGTCTTTTGCGTTTTTAATAATTTCGTCTGTCCTTTGCGTTTTTAATAATTTCCTCTATCCTTTGCGTTTTTAATAATTTCCTGTCTTTTGCGTTTTTAATAATTTCCTCTGTCCTTTGCGTTTTTAATAATTTCCTCTGTCCTTTGCGTTTTTAATAATTTCCTCTGTCTTTTGCGTTTTTAATTATTTCCTCTGTCTTTTGCCTTTTTTAATAATTTCCTCTCTCCTTTGCGTTTTTAATAATTTCCTCTGTCCTTTGCGTTTTTAATAATTTCCTCTGTCTTTTGCGTTTTTAATAATTTCCTCTGTCTTTTGCGATTTTAATAATTTCCTCTGTCCTTTGCGTTTTTAATAATTTTCTCTGTCTTTTGCGTTTTTAATAATTTCCTCTGTCCTTTGCGTTTTTAATAATTTCCTCTGTCTTTAGCGTTTTTAATAATTTCCTCTGTCCTTTGCGTTTTTAATAATTTCGTTTGTCTTTTGCGTTTTTAATAATTTCCTCTGTCATTTGCGTTTTTAATAATTTTCTCTGTCTTTTGCGTTTTTAATAATTTCCTCTGTCTTTTGCCTTTTTTAATAATTTCCTCTCTCCTTTGCGTTTTTAATAATTTCCTCTGTCCTTTGCGTTTTTAATAATTTCCTCTGTCTTTTGCGTTTTTAATAATTTCCTCTGTCTTTTGCGTTTTTAATAATTTCCTCTGTCCTTTGCGTTTTTAATAATTTCCTCTGTCTTTTGCGTTTTTAATAATTTCCTCTGTCCTTTGCGTTTTTAATAATTTCCTCTGTCTTTTGCGTTTTTAATAATTTCCTCTGTCCTTTGCGTTTTAAATAATTTCCTCTGTCTTTTGCGTTTTTAATAATTTTCTCTGTCCTTTGCGTTTTTAATAATTTTCTCTGTCTTTTGCGTTTTTAATAATTTTCTCTGTCTTTTGCGTTTTTAATAATTTCCTGTCTATTGCGTTTTTAATAATTTCCTCTGTCCTTTGCGTTTTTAATAATTTCCTCTGTCTTTTGCGTTTTTAATAATTTCCTCTGTCTTTTGCGTTTTTAATAATTTCCTTAATAATTTCCTCTGTCCTTTGCGTTTTTAATAATTTCCTCCGTCTTTTGCGTTTTTAATAATTTCCTCTGTCCTTTGCGTTTTTAATAACTTCCTGTCTTTTGCGTTTTTAATAATTTCCTCTGTCCTTTGCGTTTTTAATAATTTCCTCTGTCCTTTGCGTTTTTAATAATTTCCTCTGTCCTTTGCGTTTTTAATAATTTCCTCTGTCCATTGCGTTTTTAATAATTTCCTCTGTCTTTTGCGTTTTTAATAATTTCCTCTGTCCTTTGCGTTTTTAATAATTTCCTCTGTCCTTTGCGTTTTTAATAATTTCCTCTGTCCTTTGCGTTTTTAATAATTTCCTCTGTCTTTTGCGTTTTTAATAATTTCCTCTGTCCTTTGCGTTTTTAATAATTTCCTCTGTCCTTTGCGTTTTTAATAATTTCCTCTGTCCTTTGCGTTTTTAATAATTTCCTCTGTCTTTTGCGTTTTTAATAATTTCCTCTGTCCTTTTCGTTTTTAATAATTTCCTCTATCCTTTGCGTTTTTAATAATTTCCTGTCTTTTGCGTTTTTAATAATTTCCTCTGTCCTTTGCGTTTTTAATAATTTCCTCTGTCCTTTGCGTTTTTAATAATTTCCTCTGTCCTTTGCGTTTTTAATAATTTCCTCTGTCCATTGCGTTTTTAATAATTTCCTCTGTCTTTTGCGTTTTTAATAATTTCCTCTGTCCTTTGCGTTTTTAATAATTTCCTCTGTCCTTTGCGTTTTTAATAATTTCCTCTGTCCTTTGCGTTTTTAATAATTTCCTCTGTCTTTTGCGTTTTTAATAATTTCCTCTGTCCTTTGCGTTTTTAATAATTTCCTCTGTCCTTTGCGTTTTTAATAATTTCCTCTGTCCTTTGCGTTTTTAATAATTTCCTCTGTCTTTTGCGTTTTTAATAATTTCCTCTGTCCTTTGCGTTTTTA